TTATATGATTCCATTATTTCTCATCTCTTGATTTGATTGGTAATAGTATTTCTCATATCTCTGGCATTGGTGATGAGTCATTCCTATTCCATGTGCTAGGTGTAGATTCTGTGAACAGAGACTCAGTAATCAACTCTCTCTCTCTCTCTCTCTCTCTCCACTTACCTATATTACTTCTTAGAATTTCGACTCGGTCCCATCCAATCTATTGTGTGGTTGTGCGTTAATGTATGTATGCAGTACAATTGCTGAGCTTTTCTCTAAATTACTTATCTTCGTGAGATCAATCATTCTAACCTTAGCTTAATTCTTATGTTCTGATAATCTCACTACTCCTGATCTACTGGTTTGACCTATGTAGTTGACCTCATTCACAGTCATTGCAGGGTATTTTGTAAATTATATTATTTCATTTAATTGGGTCCATCGTGACCAAAACTGAATCCCTTAAAATGCCAGACTATTGACTTCTCCTTTAGGCATAAACGAGATCTACAAACACTAGTAAGCACTCATGAAGCCTGTAGCATTGAGGGGACTAAAATTGAAACCAAGTCTAATGCAAAATACCTCAGTCTAGTTCTAACTTCTGACCTTACTTACTTGGTCATCTCATATCCTAACGATTTCTAAGAAAGTGTTCCGTCTAAACTACTACATTAAGAAACTTAGACTATCTGGAATCACTCAACCTCTGCTTTCACAATTTGTTAATTCTTGTATCTTACCTATTCTACCTTACTTCTCCCCGTTAGTCTTTCCTGGGCTACTGAAAAAGGACTATACCATCCTGAGAAGGATGTTGAAGGTAGTTAGTAGGACTAGTAGTGTAAAACTCAGTCAGCTCGTCACTACATTAGTAGAAAGGCATCTGAATACATGTGAAAAATGGTCTAAAACCATACTCTCCGACCCCCAACACCCTCTCTATTCCCAACTCTCTCCTTGTATCTCATCAGGTAGAACCAGAAATCAGTAAAAATAATATATGCTAGTACAACCAAGTATAGGAACTCAACGAAGCCATATCTGGCCTGTGTTCTAAGTGGTAGAGACAATGTTAAGTACGAAACCTATGACTTGCTTTGTTGTTAATAACATTATTTTCGCTCTTTTATTTCTCTTATTTGTACTCTGTAGTGAACACCTTCTTAAACTTACTTAGCTACCTAAATTATTAAAATTAGCTTACTTTTTGTACTTTATTCTATTCCTTCTTTTGTGTATCCTACTGGTTCCGGCTACTTTATCACTATGAGTATTACAAAATTGTCCTGTCATTAACCATCATATAATATTAGTTTTGTGGTTGTTTTTTGCTCAGCAATCTTGTGCGTCGGTGGCACAGTGGTTAGGATTCTCGCCGACCATGCACATGGTCCGGGGTTCGAGCCCACGCCGACGCACACCTGATATCTAAGGTCGGCCTGCGGATTTTGGGCTACCGATATCCACGCTGAAAATTCCCCACTTGTAATAAAAAAATACGGTGTGGAATCAAGCTGTAATCAAAAAATTAAAAAAAAAATTAAAAAATTGTTTGTGAACGCCATTATTACCACCCTACAGTTTTTGTATTATGCAGGATTACTCACACTACCACTACAAACACCGCATTAGAGCTGACAATAAAAATAAAAACCTGAAATGTTTATTTTATGATTTTTTAGTGTAGTTCAATCAAATTAACTGATCATCTTGGCGATAAACATTCTTAAATATCATTTCATAACTTCTTGTATGACTATAGCTTTACTGTCACCACGCATAAACATATCATAGCTTCCACTACCCAATTATTATTATTATTTATTATTGCTCCCTTGGGTTCCTAGTGGAACATAGGGCTTCAACTGCACGTCTCCATTTTCTTCTGTCTTCTGCTATACTTTTCGCCTGCATCCATGTTAATCCATCTTCTTTCAACTCCTCTTCACACGATCTCCTCCATGTCACCCTTGCACTGACGTCCCACACGCCGCTTCCCTTTCGGGTTCCACTCGAGGGCTTGGCGCGCGATGTCACCCAGCGGTCTCCTCAGCGAGTGTCCAATCCATCTCCACTTTCTCCTGCATATTTGTTGGGCGATTGGTTCTTGCTTTGTTTGTTCCCATAATTCCTTGTTGGTGATTCTTTCCGGCCATCTGATCTTCAGTATTGAGCGAAGACAGTTGTTAATAAAGGTCTGCAGCCTTTTGGAAATATTCTTTGGGACCCGCCCGCCAAGTTTCTGATCCGTATAGAAGAACTGACTTTACGTTTGTATTGAAAATCCGAATTTTGTTGGTGATGCTGAGTGACGAAGATTTCCAGATTGATTTCAGGCTGATGAATGTGTTTCTCGCCTTCCCGATTCTCGATTTGACATCCTCGTCTGCTCCTCCTGTAGTTGAGACAGTGCTCCCTAGATAAGTGAATGAAGTAACCTCTTTCAAATCCCTCCCGTTGATTGTGATCGACGTTGGATGTTGTTGCTGTTGTTGGTTGGTTATTTTCATAACTTCCGTCTTGTCTATGTTTACCTGGAGTCCTGTCTTCTCCGGGTGCTTCTTCGACCAGTTTGTCGGTTTTCGCTTGTAAGTCTTCGATTTTGTGTGACATCAAACATAAGTCATCCGCGAAATCCAGGTCTTCTAGGTTCTTCACGTCGGTCCAGGATATTCCTGTCTTCTCGTTTCCCACTCACAGTCTGACGCATAATCCAGTCCACCACAATTAGGAATATCATTGGTGATAGTAAGCACCTTTGTCTGACTCCTGTGTTTACTCCAAATCCACTACCCAATACGGAGGTATTATTTATTATGGTGTTTATTTTCCTTTCTACTTCTTGGTATTTTTTTGCATTTTTTTTGTTGCTGTTGTTGTCTTTATATTTATTTTTTGTAATACTCCTTTTGAATGTGCGATGAAATCAGATGCAATATTGTAGATAAAGTGCTGAAAATTCTACACTGTACCATTAGTACTGTTTCTGGAATAAAGCAAAATTATTATTATTATTATGTGTTCAGAAGTGATTCTTGTTTGATGACAAAGATATGAGAACTTCTTCTCCTTTTATATAAGCCTTTTGCAAGCTATTCTTGTTTAAAACTATCATCATGCCCCTGACCGTATGCATGATCGGTGAAAGTCATAACCTCTGTGCCACCGACGCGGTTTTACTCTTGTGATTTATTGCATGGTAGGAACCGTCGACCAAAAATTGGGTTCGGTGCCAAACGAGCGAAAAGGCGACCATTCAGTTTTTCAATCACTTCAAAATGAAACAAGCAGCAAAGGTTAATAAAGCAAGATTTAATGAATTCATCAGATTTCGGTAGAACTCGTCAGCTACTCAGTACTCTACATACACGGTGATATATAAATATATATACTTTTGAAATTGCAATGCGAGATATAAGACTGATAAGCAAATCAATTACATTGAATTTAGTCATACAGAAAGACAAGTGTGTGTGAATGTTTTCCAGGTCATGTTCAAATTAAATTCCTAGACGGTTTTCTAGCGAAAATGACTGATAGCACAATGGAAAGATCTATATTTAGAATTTCTTCATGAGCAGGACGGTACATAAATTTTAACGGCTTTGTTCCAGTCCAGTATAAAAAGAACTTAGTCAGACCACTGTTCAATAGAGTACGGAAAATTTGTTCTGACAGTACAACTGAGCATGAAATAAAATCTCTGAAGGATATTTTATCTAAGAATGGATACCCTGAGAAGTTCATTAATAAATACGCTAAAAAAATGAGCCCCTGTCAAACTATCCAAACAGTTCCGAAGAAATTTGTCTATATCAGTTTGCCATTCAAAGGAGATGATGTACAGGAAGTAGTCAAACGAAGACTCGATAAAGCTGTCAAGAGGACTGATCATGCTGCAAAACTTGTTTTCCTTAACACCACTAAGCGAGTGCTTCAACAATCTGGGGGAAGACCAGTTGCCAATACTCGACACTTCAAACTGCCGCGTATATCAGTTTGATTAGTGTGTTTGTGGAAGCAAATACGCATAGGTCATACAGAAAGGCAATATTGTCTACTCACATCATGATGGAGCATTTGCCAAAATGGTTGAAAACAGCTGAGTGCAAAGTGCCAAAATCCCCAATAACAAAACATCTTGTGGACTATGGACATGATATGGACGTGCTGTCAAGTCATTCACTATTGTCAGCAGACAAAAAAACAAGAAGATGCTTGCAATTGCGGAGGAGGCTTGTGCAATTCGAGTTTATAAACCAGGTCTCTGTGTACAAAAGGAGATGGTCGTCACTCTGAATCTACCATGGTAATACGTTTTACTTATTATTCTACCTCTTATTATTCTTGATTCACTTAAAACTATGCTTTATCAGTAATATTATCTTAACTCACTTCAACACTATTATTATTGTTATTATAACTATTACTATTGATATTAGTCTGTTTGCAATTCTTGATATATTCTCTAATGACTAATCGTTTATCTAAGTGATGTAATTGAGGCGTAATGCATTTTATCTTAATTTTAATCTCTCACATACTCCCTCTCCCCTTATCAATTTGAACATGACCTGGAAAACATTCACACACACTTGTCTTTCTGCATGACTAAATTCAATGTAATTGATTTGCTTATCAGTCTTATATCTCGCGTTGTAATTTCAAAAGTATATATATCACCGTGTATGTAGAGTACTGAGTAGCTGACGAGTTCTACCGAAATCTGATGAATCCATTAAATCCTGCTTTATTAGGACCCTTTGTTGCTTGTTTTAAATTCGTATCGGGAAATAAATATTTTCACTTCAATCTGGATGACTAGCAATCACTACGGGTTGATGTAGGTGGCGTCCAACTACTCATATTAGTCAAATAGTAGTATATGGCATGATGATAATTTATTGAGCTACCTATTATAATGTAATTTATATTAACAGCTGTAGCAGCCTGGGGTCATGCACATATAATATGGTAAGAAATCAATTAAATCTGAATAAAATTTTACTTACACATGACAATTTCATTTAGTTTGTCGTGAAGTGTTGCATTCCAGATGATGAATCCATCTACGATAATTGGACGGTAAGTTTTCGAGGTTCTAAGTCATTTTTTTTAAAAGGAAAACGAAACTTCGCTTATTCATCTTCTATAAATGATCAATAAAAAGTTTTAGCAGATATATCCATGTCCAACCTTGAAAGAACAAAGTTGTAGCATGCAGTTGACGAAACAACTTCCTACTGTCGATATGTTGATGACACATTTGTAGTGTGCGGCAATGAAAGTTATGCTTTACACTTACTGAGATTATTCAGTGATGTACACACCATTATTGAGTTTACTATGGAAGATGAAAGTAACGGAAAGTTTCACTTCCTCGACATTGCCATGCAACGTCTAGATGACGGTAGTCTTCAGAAGTCAATTTATCGAAAGCCTACATGGAAAGGACAATACTTGCATTTTAATAGACTTTGTCCAAATAGCTTTAAACGTGGACTAGTCAAGACTCTGTACTATAGAGCGAGGAGAATATGCTCTTTAGTGAAATTAGAGGAAGAATTTGCGTTTCTTGAAAATATGTTGAAGGGTAATGGTTACCCTCAAAGGTTCATTAACAAGTATGGAAGGTCTGAAGTCACATATGTAAAACAAATCACAGTGGGAAAAAAGCCAATCTACTTTCAGCTTGATTATAAAGGTGAAAACATTGCAGCAATGATCAACAGAAGGCTGAGTACATCACTAGCCATAGCCTATCCTGGAGCTAAGCTCGTTATCGTCTATCGAACAACTTGCTCTCCCTGGGTGCAATCAAAAATCGATAGATATATCCTTCTCATGTTGTTAACTCCAACTGTGGGTATACAAATTTACATGTATCTGTGGGAACAGTTACATTGAAAGAACAGAATGAAGAAGGGCATATCTACGATTTTCTGAACATGTACCAAAAAGCTTATGTCTAAAGGGAACAAATGCTTTAAACAGTGCCATCGCCAGACATCTCCTCAACACGGGTCATGAGGTGGACGTCGCAAGATCGTCTAAAAATTATCAATAGGCAAAACAGCTCAATTCTCCTTAAGTTTGCTGAAGTCATCTCCATCAAGCGCCTGAAACCTGGTTTGTGCGTTCAGAAAGAAGCAGTTATCAGTCTTTCTTTGTTCTGCCCGGTAACTAGATATTCTCATCTCTCTTTCATCTGAATGCGTATTGCTAAAAAGTTTCTATTGACTATGATCACTATTGTTCGGAATAGTATTTAATATTACATATGTATGTGTATATATTATTACTGTATGCATATATTGATCGATTGATTTTTGTTAAAAAATGATCTAGGTGCTAGTATGTCAAAACTGTTTCGTTAGATATATTTAATAATGTCTGTGGTCTGTAAGCAGCTGACGAGAAGGCAACGAAAGAAACGATGATGGTACCATTTTATTCTGCAAAAACTGTTGTTGTTCTTGCTTTGTTCAAATTCATTAAGGGGAATAAATGTATGAAAAAGTAAGTGGTTAAAGAAACTTTCCAGAGAGACGATGAGAGTTCATTCTACTTATTTATTTTTCGTCATTTTCTACAGTGACCGAGTGATATGTATCCATATATATATGTGTGTGCATGGTGATCTCTCTTTCTGTTTACTCGCTTAGTCTGTGACCATTTCACTTTGATGAACCTGTCTCCTTTAGCAATGTATATTCCCCTTATATTATATATAATATGAGTGTTTGTTGACAGTCCGTTGCTTGGTGACATATATCCATATATGGTGGTTGTTGACATGTCTGCTATATTTTGCTATGTATATATGGATCGATACTTCATTATAATTAGCCATTCATGTTAAGACTGTCTATTGATTTGTTCACACACTTTGTCTGGAACTGGTCATATATATTTCGCTCACACAATTTGTGTGACTTACACTTACTTACTTTGGTGTGATACCACTTATTGCTTCTCCTGGTGTTTTGGAAAATAGAAGTATCATCGCAAACCTAGTGGTCTTCTGATTTCCGCTTTCTTGCGTCAGGACTATTAAATTCTCGACCAGTACATAGCAATAATTTGGCGACGAGTACATAACACTGAGGTAGAGGTTCTACTGTGGTGAGAGCTGCCTGCTAACCAAAATAGGCAGACAGCAATTTACGTCTATGTTTTCCTTCTGAATAGGGGTCGTGAGAAAAAAGACAATAACAAGGCTTAACCTTGAAGAACTCAACAACTAATCGCAGGAGACTTAACGTGTGCAAATATGATTCGCGGATATATGGCTTAACTTTCTGAGAAATGGCCACAGAGAGATGACAGAATAGCCTTGAGCAAGAAAACAACCAATCAGAAGAGGATGCTTCTCCGCTAACAATAACGAATAAAAATCTATAAATACCTGTTTATTTTCCCGATAAACGATCTGTTGTCTGGCCATTGTTTTCTTTCGTTACACTACTAGAGGGTCTGGAGTGTGATATCACTTAACAGTCTCTCCAGTGAACGTTTAATGCACCTCAACTTCTATTTTCATATTTTTTGAGCAATTGTTTGTTGGATGGTTCACTGATTGGTCGAAATTCCCTGTTTTGTTTGCTTATATCTGATCTTCAAGTCGAGCAGAGAGACAATTGATGTAAGTTATCAGTCCACTGGAGATACTTTGGATGATGCGCACGCGCATGCCAACTTTCTGAATCATACAGAAGCAATGAGTTTACATTAGTGTTAAAAATCCTGCGGTTTTTGTTATGCTGAATACTGTAGATCCACACTGATTTCAGAGGGAAACAAAAAGCATATCAAAGCCAGTCGGATTCGAGAAAGCATGACTGAGAGATACTCATTTTTCTACAATCTGTATGGAGACCTACAGCACTTATCACAAAGAAGAAGATCCAAATTTCATTGAACACTAATGTCAATTTGATGCCTTAGCATGACTCAGTCAGTTGATGCGCAGATCACCAAAAGCCTTTCCAACAGACTGTTGAAGACCAACACTAATAGCTGCCCACTTTGCTAAATACTGATATTAACTGACCAAGCAGAAGTGATAAGCAAAGAGGAATTCTAGTGGTGAGTAAGCCAGCCGACAAGAAGGAGTGTAATATCACTCGCTAGACCCTCCACTAGAAAACATATGGGAAACATCAGGCTGGTTGTCCGTCCGATTGTGATATAGAGGAAGTCATTTGAAAAGGAAATGAAGGGTTGTGGACAAGTTGAGAGTGGTGTCAAAAAATAGAGTGTAATGGAGATACAGCAATGAAACCCTGTTGGCATTCGAAGTGCGAGGAATGAGTGATGACAATAATAATTATTCAGTATTATTATTCTCTTGGGTTCCGAAAGGAACATACGGTTTCAGCAACACAACTCCACTTTGTACCATGGTCTGCTGCCACCTTCAGATGGCTAGCTCCACCACTGACCATAATCTCTCATCTCCTCCTCTCCAACAAATGATCTCCTCTATGTCACCCTCCCTTGTGATGACCCACTCGTCGCTTCCCATCAGGTTTCCACTCGAGTGATGGCCTGCATTTCGTGCAGTGTTATTCGATGACCTCCTCACTGTGTGTACCCAATCCAACTCCATTTTCTTCTACTTATTTATTGGACACTCGGCTCTTGCCTCTTGGTTCGTTCCCAGTCAGAGTTTCATATTGCTAATTATTTCTAGCTTTCTGGTCAGCCATTTTATCACCAGTTTGGAGCTAGCTAAGCGGGCAGCTGTTGACAGAAGTCTTCACTAGCCTGTTGGAAATGCTTTTCGTAACTAAGGCGTAGTACAAGTTTCTCATCCGTATAGAAGAACTAACTGACCGATTTTACATTTGTGTTGAACAGGATCCGAATCTTGTTGTTTATGGTAGCTGAGAGAGTCAGTGCAGAAGAATGCCAAACTGTTTTCAGGTTGATGAAGGCGTGTCTTGCCTTTCCGATCCTCTCTAGTCTGGTTTGACATCTTCATTCATGATATCGCTTGTGTTTGAAACCATGCTGGCTGCCTAGATAAGTGAGGGCAGGAAGTAACCTCTGTTAAATCTCTCCCGTTGATGGTGATTGTTGCTGGTTGTTGTTGTTATTACCGCTGTTGGTTATTTGATTATCTTTATCACCTTCATCTTCTCTGTGTTCAGGAGGGGTCCTGTCTTCGCTGCCTGACAGTCTTTTCTACCAGTTTGTTGATTTTCTCCTGCAAGTCTTCGAGTTTGTGTGACATTAAACATAAATCATCCGCTAGCTAAATCCACATCTTCCAGAGTTGTCTTATCTGTGGTCCAGTGTATTCCAGTCTTCTCACTTCTTGTTCACAGTCTGAAGTATAATCCAGTCCATCACAGCTAAGAATATCATCGGTGATAATAGGCAGCCAGGATTGTCTTACTGCTGTATTCACTTCGAATGCCTCTCTGTGTTTTCCATTGTAGATCATCTGACACGTTTCACTGTCTTATAGACAGCTGTTGAATGATGTTGATGAAGACTTGGGGACTGCACGCCGTAGTGGGGAAACACTTTCCAAATGACGTCTCGGTCAACGCTGTCTGTCGAAGGCTTTTCTGAAGTCGATGAAGCTGTTGAAGTAAGAGAGAGAGAGAGAGGTTCGACTACCATTCTACGCTTTGTTCTGCGATGACAATACGTAGAGTTGCAATTTGATCAGTACATGACTTGCCTTTACTGAATCCAGTCAGCTTGTTCCGATGTGGCTTGGGGAGTTCTGTATCCAGTGCATCTTTTATCTTCTCCAGGATGATTTGACTTAATATTTTACTTGGCGTGGACAAGAGCATTATTCCGCGCCAATCAGCTCTTGCAGATACCTATTTCGCCCTTATTCGGCAGCTTGACAAGGTAGCCAGCCTTTATTCCAATCGGTAGGTACCTTTAGTTTTTTTTCAAACCTATTGCAATAATGGCGTGAGCACATCTACCGTAGTCTCTGGATCCGATTTCAGTGCTTCGAGGGGTGAAGAATTCCACCTGGTCCTATTGCCATCCCTTACTTATAACAATAATAGTGAATTGCTTTTCAGTTCGAATCTTTAGGCATTCTTATGACTCTGCTAGAACATGAATTTTTATTTCCGCAGCGTTGTCTATACTACTGAAATCTAGTTATCTAATTAAATTTTCAAACTCATCGAGTGATATTCAGAGAGAGAGAGAGAGAGATGGAGAGATAGAATTTAGAAGTAAAACAATACGTAAGAAGACTACAGAAGATATTCTAGATTACTTCTTGATCCGTTCAGAAGAAGTAGTAGTGTTTATGGTAGACGGAGTCAACGGATTCTTTCTCACACTGTTCACAGTTATCAAGTGGTCATAAAATACCTCCATAGTTAACTTACTCACTATTCAGTTGTACAGGTTTATACATTTTCCTGAAATTTTCTAAAGACTTGTACAGAATTGTATTCATTCTTTGTTTCTGCACTGTTTCATGATAAGACAGTGGTTGTCTACGTGTATGAGCTCGAAGAACGACAATGTTCGACATCTAAAAGAAGTACATATAGACATAGAAGTATAAGGATATTTGTTAGAATAGAATTCTGTCCGTACAAACACGAAGAAGCAGACACACGAGACCTATTACACCATATTGATCAATGGGTGGATTTTGATTTGGTTGTGTTCTCTGAGCTAGCTGGCTGGATAGTTTTAATTTGCGAAGCTTTCATTATTTGTGCCCTACTTGCTAGGCAACATCTTCAGGGTACACTTCAATTTGAAATGAAGTAAGTTTTTTTAGATTTCTCCACAAGTTCACTATTAGTCATCTCTCATGATGATCTTGAATGTGATTCCTTGTTTTTGTATAATTTCACACCTTTCAGGCTACTTGTATTTGAATTGATTGTTTCTTTAACTTGAACACTCAACTCATCGTCTCCCTTACTTGATTTCTACTCGACAGTTGGATTAGTGCGTGATATCATCCAAGGATTTTCTCACCTTATGTTCAATTCATCTTCATTTCATTCGAAAGATTTTGTTGGGTGGTAGGTTGTCGGTTAGTTTCTTATCAGACTTCTTGATTGCTAATCATTTCTGGTTGGTTATATGATTTTCAGCATGGAGTGCAGTGGGCAGTTGTTGATGAAAGCCTGAGGTGGGCAGTTCAAAATGCTTTTGGAGACGCTTGTTCCGAGTCTCCGAACTATATATATATATAGAGTAACTGAGTGACTGACTTGACATTTTAGTGTTCACAAGTTCGAAACTAGGATTATGAAATAGCTATCCAGTACACATCCAACCAGCTGGTTTTCCAATTTTCAATGTGATTCGAAATCCTTAGAAATGTCATAATCTGAAGACAGTTCACCAGCTAGTTATCCACGTCCAGATTAAACTTTAAGCACCATTGACAACTACCAATGGAGTGCAACCGTACCAGTAACCTTAAAATGTTCACTGAACGAGTTAATTAGTAAAACCTGGCAAATAATGTTGTCAATATCAATCCAAAATATGCTAATCGAAGTGTTATGTTATCAAATAGGATATCTGGCAAGTTTTAGCTTAGGTTTCGGGAAAGATTTAGTTATGGTTTAGGCAAAGGGCAAGTTAGAGTTAGATTAACCTAATGAAGGCAACTTTAGGGTTGGTTCGAGTTAGATTACAGTTATTTTTGGGCATATTTTCACGTTAGGGCTAGGCTTAGGAAAGTTTAGGGTTATTGCCAGGGTTAGAAGATTGATATGTATCCACAGGATGTGTGTTTTGTTTTTATCAGTCTGTTATATTTTGGTATGTGTATATGGATCGATATTTCATTATAACTGACAATATGATTTTGTCTGTCCACTAACTAAATAAACACGTATGACCTTGTTGTCTGTCATATGACATTACAACCAATCATGTTAAGACTGGCTATTTATTGGTTCATGTGTATTAGCCATTTTCATATATATACTCTTGCTTTATTATTCTTGTTCACACATTTCGTACATTTAAGTACCCCCTTCCACTCACACACTTGTATGACATTTATTTTCCTTGTCTGGAAAATACAAGTATCATCGTAAACCTGGTGGTCTTCTGATTTCCCTCTATCTGCGTCAAGACTATTAACTACTCGACGAGTACATAACAAAGACCTAAATAATTACATGCATAGAATGTGGTTAAATTACTCTGTTGGTATAAGAATAGTATTTGTGCACTGTAGTGGTAGATTATAATTCCATTGTGGGTAACATTCATTCCTATAAAGTCTCACAGTGTTATACAGTACTGATGACCACGTTTCGAGCACAGGTTTATTGCCCAGTAAAAGTTACTGCATAACATTACGAGACTTTAGATGGTTGGAGGCAATCGGCCACAGGAAGCCTTGGACCTAGGTTTCTTGCTAGTTGGCACTCACCAGACAGCAAGGCGTATCTGCAACCTTAAAGGAACTCACGTCACCCAGTGCCGTCTGCAGTCAGAGACGTTACCACCGAGGAGCTATTCGGGCTCTCGATTGACCTCCTGTAGGACTGTAGTGGATATTTTGATTTGACACTAGTAATGAATGCCAGCTAGCACGAAACCTAGATTCTAGGCTTCCTACCGATTACATTTAACCATCTAATACCATCAAATCAATGTGCACCGTGATGGTGAGCTATCTAGAATGGTGGTCACATTGCAACCTGACTGATGGAATTCAATCTACACCAATCAGAGGAATAGACGCATCACACTAGTTACTGGTGTCAAATCAAAATTATGAGACTTTATCAAAATAAATTTTACCCCACAATCGAATTATACTCTGTTGATACTCCAACCTAAAACTGAGAGCTATTTTTATCACATGTGAGACGAAGGTATCCTCTACAATTTTTATGCAGTTTTGTTTCGTATGTATATATGTGTGTATTCCATACACAAAAATGCCTCTTTCACGTGATTGGTGCTTTCGATGTCAATCGCTGATTGGTTGGTAGTTAGTGGTGCTTAATGTTTTTAACTTTACCTAGTGATTGACGTTTATTTTTTATTGGTTAATTATCCTCAACACCTCCATCTTCTTTATGTTCACTTGTTGTCTTGTTTTCACTGCTATTTTTTTTCGCCAACTTGGTGGTTTTCGCCTTCGAGTTCATGTGACATTAGACACAGATTGTTCATGAAGTTCAAATCTTCTAGAGTCTTCTTGTTGACCCAACCAGTTCTTGTCTTCTCACTCGCCATGGCCTACAGTATAATCCAATCCGCCAAAAAATTAAACCATGAATCTCATCAGTGATAGTAGGGCAGCCTCTCGCTTCACCCCTGTCAACTGTTGAATATTGTTTGATAAAGGTTTGAGACACTACACTCTGTCGCGTTGAAGTAGTTTCCAAATTAATTCACAGTCAACTCTGTTGAAAGCCTTTTCAAAGTCGATAAAGCTGATGTTAGAAATTTATCTTCCATTTCCTAGTCTATGAGCACTGAAATTTGTTATTTCATATCTCAGGAGAACCGATTATTATTTAATTTCTGGTGAATTTGATCTATTGAAAATGACCGAATAAACTCAATGCTAATTACGCACAACTGACATAAAATCAGTTCACAAAAATAAATAGATAAATATTGATAAAATGTGTTTGTTTGGGTCGAAAAGTACTATGAAATCAATCAATTACGCATTCACTTCAGTCCAAATAGAAAAAAAAATCGATATTTAATAAAATGAGAGTTGCATGGAGGATTTCACCATGAGCTGACATCAGTTAGAGAACCATTGGAAAACCTGCCAGGGAGTACTGGACAGCCAGCTGTTTCGCCAGTCTAGTTTGGGATTCTTCATCAGTACGCACCCACCGCCGGGGTTTGAACCCAGGACCTTCTGGTTACAAGGCGAGCTCGTAGACCATTGAAATGGTGAAATCCTCCATGCAATCAAACAAAGTCCCTACAAAACCAATAATTGAAAATTAATTAGATGCTCACTAGTGACTGGCGCTATTCAGGGAGTTAACCTGGGGTTCTAGTGGGAAGCCGTGACCGGTAGGGTACAGCAGGTTGAAGATGAGGCAGTAACTCATCGAAGAAGGCATTCCAAAATGGTCGAGCTATGTTGTGAATTGGGAGAAGTTAGAATTCAGGGACCACTGGATCGGGTCCCAGTGGCTCAATGGTCTACGAACTAGCTCGCCCTGTAACCGGTAGGTCCTGGGTTCGAACCCCGGTGGGTTCGTACTGATGAGGAGTCCCAAACTAGGATAAAACAGCTGTCCAGTACTCCCAGGTTTTCCAGTGGTTCTTTAACTGATGTCAGCTCATGATTAAATCCTCCATGCAATCAAACAAAATCCCTACAAAACCAATACTTGAAAAATGAGAGTTTTCAAGGGCTTGTTTTTAAGGATCTGATTTGATTCAAGTTTGATCACGGATCGATATCAGTTAGAAAACCATCAGAAACCATTAAGGAGTACTAGGAAGCTGTTTTTTCAGTCTAGTTTAGGACTCATCAACAGAACAAATCCACCACCAGGATTCGAACCAAAGACTTTCTGGTTACGCGAGGTGAGCTCATAAACTATTCAGCCATTGGAACTCGACTCCTTAACTGGCAGCTCATGAATTCTAACTTCTACCACCAATTCATGATTTTAGCGCGACTCACACCAGCCAATGTCATCTGTGATGAGTATTTGTCCTCACTGGCGACCACGCGGGTCCCACTGGTCACGATTCCTCATTAGAACTCCGGACAACTCGTCCTGTAGCTAGTCACCAGCGAGTATCACTATTGTCTGCTCGTTGTTTTGCGACGTATAGGTGGACTGAGAATGGCAATCTTGTAGTCGTGTGCATAATATTCTTGAAGAAAAAACTATTACTACTAATAATAATGAATGAGACGATCTGTGATCACAAGAATAACGAAAAACAGTATGATTAAACAAACAAATGTTCAGGTTGACATAGTAGTCCATAAAGGCTAAGAAAAACAAATGAACCGATTAAGTAATGCTAGATTGATTGTAAGATATGATAAGAGAGAAGGGGTTGAAAAATATAAGTAAACGGTGGTGGAGATGTCACCAGTTGGTAAGGTCTTAATAGGCCAACAAGGGAGGGATAATGGCTGTACGAACTTCTTTTGAATGAATGCATAGTTTAGGTTTAATAGTCGTTCGAATGCTTATCGCCTCAGTTATATGTACATTAGACGAATAAGAAGTCTATTGTTAGGATTCACTGGAATGAGATAAATCACCTTGAATGCTTTCATTTTCTCCACGACATAACCTTGTATCAATTGAATGTAACAAGACGGGGCTACGAGTTGTTTTCGTCTGTCCTTCGCCAAACCACGATGGGAGATGTTCACTAACACATTGGCTAAACTGTCTAGTAGTACGCCCGACATAACTGTCACCGCAAGAGCAGTTGAATTAACAAATATACATAGACGTGGCAAAACTATCTGGCTTATCCTTCATTTACGTCCCAATCATTCGTCGGCTAGAGAATGACAAACGTAGGTGTGCTGAGTAAAAC